ATATTTATGCTCTGAGAAACCATTGTGTGTGTGAAATTTTTGGTATCACAAAGTGACTTTATATCTTAGAGCATCTGTTTTATGTTTTCTTCCAGTAAGGATAAGCACTTTGATACTGACCTCAGTTCCTAATTATTATTTGTGCCATTAAAACAGCACTGGCATAGAAAAAAGTCGAAGTGCCAAAGTTCTACCTGAAAAAGGGAAAATGTAAGTGAGGAAAGCCTTGTCATTTAGGCTTGTTTTGAGGACTTAGAGGGGAATATAATGCTTCCAAATCTGCATCTTGTTTGATTCAGTAGAATTTTGTTAAACAATTTTATGTCCTTCTCAAACCTGCAGTAGTCACAGCTTGTTTAAAGCGGAACCTTTACTACAAACTGAGCAGCAGAAAGAATCCCTTGCACTTCACTGCATAACAGCTAATTCCTGAGAGCCTTTATCCTCTCTGCAGGATAAGTTAGATGTTTTGGATTGAATCCTTAAATATTATGGGTTCAGTATATTCTAGCTTTTCTTTAGCTCTTAGCAGTAATAAATCTTAGACTTATATAAAGATTATTTTACCCATATAAAGGTTATCTTTCTCTCTGTTCCCCTGGGTTGTATTTTCTTTCCATGTTTGTTTGAGGAAACCTACTTAGTGTTAGAAGCTAAAGCTGATACCAGATAGGTGGGTTGATGGGTGTAAGAGAAATTAAGTTCCTTTTTTTTCTTTTTTTTCCAGCTAAATAAGTGTTTCACCATAGAAGTAACATTCTCTCATTTTAAACTTGAAAGCCCTTGTTTGGAGCCGCACTTAGTTTACTGGAGGAATATTTTTTTTTTTGTTTTTGTTTACCAAACATGGAAAAAAATGTTCATTGTAACAATGTAGTTCATATTGTACTGTTTTTTTTTTTTTTTTTTTTTTTTTTTTAATGATTTTTGTTGGGATAAACTCATTCTCATATGTAATATTTTTCTTAACATAATTTTAATCACTTCCCTGCCAGCTACTTGAAATAATAGAGCCAACACTGAAATGAGCAAGTTAGTGACCTTGCTAAAAAGCTGATCTGATTGCTTCTGAAATGCCAAGGAGACGGGATTATCATACTTAGTAGGTGGTTTATGTGTTTGGAACTATAAACAGTGGTTTAAGTTCAATACAAGAAAATAATAAAAAAAACAACATTGCAAATTCACATAGTCAAGTGCTGAGAAGAGCTCCTGGCACGAGTAGGCTGCTCATCAGCGAGAGATGGCTGTGGTATGACCCAGCTCCTGATCTGTTTCCTTCTCAGATGATGTGGCTCTGCAGCAGTAACGTGATTCCAAGCCACATGAGGTGGTTTCTAGCATTTAAAAGAGGTTGTTAGGACCAGCCAATAAAGCACTGCTTCATTTGCATTTAGGACATGGTATATAGCTCTGATCAGTCACACTCAGAAAAGGCTGAGTCTCAAAAGATCAAGGAAAGAAAAGAACTTAGTGTGATTATGCTAAAGTTGAGCTTCCTTTCTTAAAGGAGAATGAAAGAGAATTTGGCAAGTGACGCCTAGAAAGAAATAACAATAGTCTTTGCTGAGTGTTAGAAAGTATATGGGAGAGAGAAATAACACAAAATAACTGTATCTAAGGGATAAATTTAGTAACAAAACTAGTTTGAAAATCAGTCTAGTCTTGAAAAAATAGTAGCAGGGAGAAACTCAGATGTTCAAGATGGTCTTTGGTACAATTACATAGTAGGACTCTGTAAGATGATAAAGTTGATCCCAGAGGTAAAAATTAAAGACATACATCTGAGATTTTTTAGTTCTAGAAAAATAGAAATTTTGGAGAAGGGATAGAACAGCTGAGAAAAGATTTGATTGTTGTTTGTCATAACGTTTCCAATTTTACATATTCTATTCTTCAGGGCTTCTACTGGTAGCCTGCAGGGAACAGGAGGGAATATTTATTTATATATTTGTTTATTCCTTCTTGGTGCATAGCTTAAATTTGGTGTTTTATCCATCTTTTTCTGAAGCAAAGGCAATTTGCCGCTGACCGAAGGGATTTTGAGTTGAGGTGTCTGGTTCTTCCTGTAGTAGTGGGAAAATAGTTCAGGCCTGGCATGGGGGGCCGGTGCCCGCATTCAAATTTAAATGAGTTTGCCCCAGTAGGATGGAGAAGGGAGGACAGAAGTGTTTTTTTTTTTTTTTTTTTTTTTTTTAACTCTCCTCTGTATTCATGAGGTGATGAGATTATTTTCATTTAACACATTCTGTGGTTGCAGGGACCTATGGCGTAGCTGGTATCCTTGAATTCTGTTATCTTGCTGTTGTTAATTCATATTTTGTGTGTTTTTAAAATTCATTCAAATTACATGAAAAGTATTGATAAAGTGGTTTGGACTTTTGTTTTGAATATGTTCATGTAATGCAAGAAATTGGATTAAGCTTAGTATGGAACCTCTTGTAAGGATATATTTTTATAAATATATTTATTTTAATAAAAGGTAGCAAGTAGGTACACTGTACCACCAATTTGAAGTCAGGATCAGGCACACAACTGAAGTTTTCTTATGGTGAGGTCTCTTCATGACCTTTATCTACAAAAAGGTGTGCACAGGGTAGGGGCAGACCTGTCTGGAAGGCACCTCTGTCCAATTCATCTAGTGATGTGTGTAAATTTTGCCGAGGTGATTGAACAGTAGATGCAAAAATTATTTAAATAGTAGTGGATATTTATAAAGATCAGTTTTCAAGGATGTATTAATAATATCAGGTTGGCAAATGGTAAGCTTCTGGGTAGCTGTTAACTTTTGAATGACAGAATAGGCTGGCTATTTTTTTCCATGGTTTCCTAGCGAAATCTGGGAGCAGATAGTCACTTTACTTTAGTTATGATGATCTTAAATGTAAGGTTTAATTTTTTTCCTCTTAGTAATAGATTTATGGATTGAGGAAAAAAAATGACTCGCCTTCTACACCTCAACTTTAGTACAGCATGGTACTTTGCAACTTACTCTGAGCAGGTTATGGGCTACAAAAAATATTCTACAACCAGTGCATAGGTGGTTGCAAAACAGTACGCAAAACTCAAGTTAAAATGTTATTGCCATACAGATAGAATCTGTTAAGTGGAGCTGGGCTGCACAGCTTCATGTTAAACCAGCTTAGTATATTTCACTGTAGTGTTTTTGGAGTTACTCACATTGTGGAAATATTTGCTTGGAGCAGAGGTATAAAATACATTGAAACTTTTTTTTTTTTTTCCCTGCAACATTTGTCAAGAACTGTTACATAGCTACTTCATGTTGATTTGTATGTCTGTATGGAAAAAAGATGGAAATATATACATTTTTCCTTTTATTGTTCTGGTCTGTTTTTATCTCTTTTAATATATCGCAGCTGACAATTTTGTGGAGCTTTTTGTAGGGTGTGGTGAAGTGCCCAGCCTAGTATGACTGGCCTTTTGGTGGACTGCCTGTAAATCCATTGCTTATAGACACACCAGCTTGTATATTTATTAATAATTCTTTTAATTACATGAACTTTTAACATTGCCCCTTGTTACTCAGTTGTGCTTGGCTTGCCAACTGCCCTCTAGCCAATAGCTTCAATTCTCCGTTGTTGTGATACGGGCAGTGTAACCGATTTGATGAGAGGTGCAATAAAAGAACTAGTTGAGTTTTACTGGAAAGCTAAAATCCTGTTGTTACTGCTTGTATGTGGGGTAACTGTAGTGTTTTTGCTTTGGATTTCTGAGATTCTTTATCATGGGAAAAGCCGTATATTTTTATTGAGTGCCACCTTAGCTGAAGTATACTGAAACTATCAATCTCAAATGAAAATGAAAATAGGCCATCTCAGTTTCCCCCAGGCATTCCATTTTTGGAAGTTCATGGGCTCTGACATTGTAGGTGCAGATTATTTTAAATAATTTATTGCACGAGTGAAAAAAATACAAAATTGAGCCCTTTTTTATTTTTGAGGTTTTTTATCACTGTTGCTGCTTGAGATCTTTAGAGTTGCCTGTTCAACTTGTTCATCTGACAGTACTGTTGCTGAATTTTTTAGAAATATAAAATCACTTAATAACTTTCAATCAAAAAGGAGATTAATTTGGCAGAATCCTCATTGCAGTAAAACACAGTTATCAGAAGCACTTATCATTTTCTCTTCACTCCTATTCCTGGTACTATTGTTAGTCTAATTGGTTTCCTATTTATTTTTCTTTTTGCTAACTTCCGCAATTTTGTTCCCTTCCTTGAAGTTAAGTTCATAAATTAGCTTTTTCAATATCCAATTTACGTTATCGCAAAGTCTGCTATTTGCAGCTTTTGATTGCTTTTTCTATTAAATGGCCAGCAATCGACACCTAGTTCAGCGGTATACAACTATTCAAGCAGTGAGACTACCATGATGTAGTAACTCCATGCCTTGATAACCCAAAACTAAGATTTTATTTAAAATATACTGTTATTATGTACAGTCTGTGTGTATTATGTACCAATATAAGTACGTAGTACAGAACAGTTTAGTTTTTTTACATGTGGTTTAAAGGTAAAGTCTATTTTTTTCCCCATAGCAAATGTTTGAGTAGTTTCCTATTTTAGTTTTTGGCATCTGGCACTGGGTTTTAGGATCTTGGTCGTATAATTTTTTGCATTTTTTTTTTTCTTCTAAAGCCTGTCTATATATATCCCAAGAATTACTCCACTGTTGTTTTTTTTTTTTCCCTCTCACTTCCTGAATTTGTTTCCCAGCCGCAACAAAGGCCTATACTTAACCTTTGTTTTTTTTGGCAACAGTGTAGGCAGTTGCTATTTTGTTAAACCACAATATAAAATGTTGTTGTTCATGTGTATTAATTTCTGTTTTCATGAGAGCTGTGCTATGTGTCAGTTGTCTAATCACAAATCACGTAAAATTGAGCAATTTTTAAAATCTCTTTAATACTTCATGTAGCAGACAAAGGATGAAAACACAGATTAAAAACTAATGGTCTTCTTTTTCCTCTTTTATTTTCAGAGAATTAACTAGGCTTCAAAATGAAAGTGAGGAAGAAGAGTCCCTGAAAGTATCAATTTGAACAAAAATTATTGCTGGTAGGTAAGTACTTCTTTCTCTTTGATGTTGCTGCCATTGAGACAATAGCTAGATGTGAAGAAACTAGATGAAGAGCTGTGCTACTTAAGTAACAACTGAAAACTGCCCTTCTGATGGTAAATGCATGTCAGTTGGAAGAAGCAAACTTTGCAGTTGAGAGGTCAGGTTCTTTACTAGATGTTTTGTTGATTCGCTTTATGAAGAATATATTTTTTTTAATGTCAGATTATTAACTAAACTGGGTCAATCAGACACTTGTTTCACCTTCCTTTTCTCACAACACCTGTTTTCCTCCTCCTTCCTTTTTCCTATCCCCTCTGAAAAGTGAAATTCTTTGATAGGTGCATTATGTATCCTCTGCCTTATGTGTAAAGCCCATATTTGGCAGTATTCTTGGGCCCTTTCATCTTCAATCTGACCTGCAGATATTACATGCATTTCTCACAGATAAGCAATACTTTGTAGAAGGGAGGCGTGTGCTTGATTCTCTCAGGTTTCTCTGTGAGAACTGTGAGCAACTAGGCCACTGTGGCTGGAAACTGTTGTGTGCTCTGGGATATTCTAAATCCAGTGCTAGATTATCTTGAATGGTGACACGTATTCAAAACTTAATATTACATATCCATATGCTTTTAAAGTCTATGCAGGGGCTATAATATTAATTTAAATAGATGAATAATGAAAAATAAATCTTAAAATAGTAACTCTTCTTTTTGAAAATGGATTAGAGAGTGAAGTAAACTTCACTGAAATGTGAATTGAGTTGTGAGCTTAGAACCCAAGCGTGTTATGACATTCTTTTTTGATGCAACTGTAGAAAAGACTGCTGTGATCAGTATCATTACTATTGTGAATTATGGTAAGGATATGGTTGTGAAAGTTTCTTGACCTTTCAAAATTAAACAAATTAGACAACTAGTTCAAAGCAAATTTGTTGCAGATGAGATGCTTTTACTGTTCATCCAACTTCAGTAATGATTGTGAATTAATCTGAAGACAGCTAAAGTACTTTGAATTATGATCTATTTATACAGTCATAACTCTTGAAGTACTTTGATAGCTTAAGAATTTAATGGATGGTTTAAAAAAAAAAAAGACATAAATAGTTCTGAGGATCTCATGGCTGGGACAGAACAAAGAGTATGAAGGTAGCTTTCCAAGCACCCAGTTAGGTTTCCTGAAACTGGGTTAGCCATTGTCAATGCTGTTGCTGAAAGACATTGTTTCCGTTTCCTGAGCCCAGCTCTCACTTCATTTTGCTCAGTCTCTGACTCCTGCTTGTGAACTGATTTATCTCACAAACCCAGAAAAAGGTGACTATTTTTTTTCTTGCTTAGTGAGTTGGATCAGCTCAAATAAGAGTTCAGAAAGTGTTAAAATGGTGAAAAGGAAGAAATGAGCACGTGCAGGTAGGAGCAATGAGCGTGGGAGCATAACCTGACCCTTTAGGCAGCAGCAAGTTAGTAGATCTGTCCAGCAGTTTGTGGAAAGGCTGTATCAAAGTCACTAGATCAGAAATAGTCGATTTTACTTTTGAGTAGAACAGATACAGCCTCTGTGATAGCATTAGACTAGAACTGAGTAATCTTGCCAGATCTTTCCCGGACCTTGCTGTTGGTAGGAGTGATCTGTCAGTACTGAATAGAAACAATGATACATGGGGAATATAATTTTTAAAAACTCTTAGTGGATATCTGGAAAAGCATTAATACACTCGCTCTCCCTCCCTCACTTCCTTTCCCTGCTGCTTCCCCCAAAAACATATGTGAAATATCTGTGTGTTCCAGGCCCTGGAAATGAATGAGAAATATGTACCACTTTGCATGAGTCTTCCAAACCTCATTTCTTATCAGGATTGGCTGGTCCCTTGTACATGATGTTGTATAATTTCATAACACAGCAATTGGTCTATATCTTGGGTTACAGCTTTTTTTTTGTTCCTGTATGGCTATGGCTTTTTATTCTTTTTTTTTTTTTTGCTGAAACATTTTCATGTAAGGGTCTAAGTAACTTTTGATCGTTAATGCACCTAATTTTAAATTTGTATATTCCAGATCATACACATTAATTGTGAATTTGGCAGGATTAGAGAAGTTATCCTAGTGGATGCTATTTGTCTATAAATTAATATTTCTATAGTACCTGAAAAATAACATTTCAAATATAATTGGTAATGTGACCAGTTGAATGATTGTAACTTTTTCCTGCCAAATGTCTGTCTGTCTGTCTGTCTGTCTGTCAGAAACCTACATATGTATGTAGCATATGGTTTTCATTTGGATCATACATACAGAGGAAAACTTGCATCAACATGAGGATTGAACTTATTTTTGTGATAACATATTTGGATCTACCTTCTGGACCCATTCCAAATTCTTTATTCTGTAAAACCTTCCCAACGACCTGTTCTTTGTGACTTTGTTTTGGTATTTGTCAGCTAGAAAAGTGGAGAAAGATAAAAATGCTCCTGTCAGATGTGGATAAATGCCAAGGTTACATCCACAATATAAAAATATTCTGTAGTTACTTTGGCTCTCTTTATTTTTAAAGAAAGATGTAATCATACTACCCTGATAATTCTGTACTTTATTGTGTCTATATTTTTATTTTTAGATGGTGGCTAATAAACCCATTTGGAAACTGGTAGAACCCTGTTAACTTAAAAAGGTTTTCATTTAATTATTTTTGCTCTTGTCATGGCCTTTTTTTTTTTTTTTGGTGTCCTGTTTTGTTTTTGAAGAGATGTACAAATAACCTAGTTCCAAAGGGAAGGAGGAAAATGAAATGCCTTGCTATTTACAGGGTGATTCATTTGAAATGGATCCCAATGACACTAACTTCTAATCAGACTGATCTTGAAGATATCTGTTGTAATTCATGCTAGCTGTATTAAAATTGCTTAATTAATCCAAAAAAATGTCAGCAAAGAGGGAACTTTCACACCTTCAGGAAGGTTCCTTTAAGGCTGCCTAGTGTGTGTGGGTTCTTTGTCATTGTCTTTTTTAGCTCTTGGGGAGAATGTATGGCTCAAAATCTATAAAAGTTGTAGGTTCAATAACAGGAAGAGATCACTGTTAAATTGCTTGGTAAGTTGGGCTTATTTGAAGAATTTGTATTTGAATAGGATCAAATGTGTGGTTCCAAGCCTAACACTGTAGATTGCATTTACAGATTAGAGACAATATTTTGGAATAAAACAGCAGTAGGATGGATGAGAGGGGAGGTGATATTGCTGTGTACAATATTAATGGCTGTGCTGGGCATGTAATGGTAAGGTCTGAGGTCTAGTCTTCAGAAGTAATTGTAGAAAGTAGGAAGGAGTTTAGAAAAGAGCTATGAATCATTCAAAGTCTGGGAAAGTATATCTTATTTCAGAGATTTAATACGTTTATTCTGGTATTCTAGTTACCAACCATAGACTAACTATTTGATCAATTTATCTGGGAATCTATCATTCTCATTTAACTTGTATAAATTGGATGGAATATATGTAGTAAAATACGTGCCTTACCTTGGACAAAATGTGTGGTTCTGGTGCAAAAATTGAGTTTCAATGATTACTGGATTTCAGTGATCAGTCTCTGAGATGTCAAGTTATGTTGGAGACAGAATTAACATATTCTGAATAAACAATACCTCCCCCTACCCTGCAAGCTTTTTAAATTAATCCTAACGATACCTAGTTCAACGTGAATTCCAGAAAGCATTGTGACTGGAATAATTAGCCTTCATTCATACTGTAAAAAAAATATGTGTAAAGGTGGCTGAACTTTAAATAGGCTTTTTATTAAACATATTCTTGATATTTTTTTAAACCAATTTGTTGAAGTACGAAGAAAATCTGTATGCATATTTGTAGCAAAGCCCCCAGTTCAACATTTTGATCTTAATAACAATACTTGTGGTAACTTTGCCTACCTCAGTTTCAGTATTCAGCTCTTGATGATAAAGATGAATTTTGTATAAAAATGAATGTTTTGCAAATGAAAAAGTCTGCTAACTTTTTTCCTGCTACAGGCCTTATGCTTGAGTCTGCATAATGTAAACCGCACAGATCTTTTCAGCTTGCACGAATGGCAGAATCATGTTGGTTGCAAGGGACTTCCTCTTAGTCCAGCCCCTCAACTGCAGTTCCAGTTAGAGCGGCTTCCTCAAGGCCCAGTCCTGTTTGGACAAGCATGGAGATTCCACAACATGAGTTTGTGATTGACACGTAAACTGTGCCAATAGTTTCATACTATGTCTGGAATCTATTAGAAACATTATTTCCTTGTGAGCAGATGTTTATATCTTTTAAAACCGAGAAGAGGGTACCAAAGTAACATCTGTGAATATAAATTCACTGAAAGGAGACATGCCAGAGAATACAGACCCTTAGAGAAAGGAAGGAGACTTTGGATACCATCGTGAAACCTGACAAATGGATAAGGTGAATTCATGGAGGTAGTTTGTATTTGTTGCTTTTCTGTTCTTGCAGAAGCTTGATGAAGCTCTTAACCTCAGCCTCCAGCTTCTGGCTGTGGCTCCGAGTATGTGATAAGAAAAGGAAACAAAAGAATTAGCTCTCAAAATATCTTAAAAACCTGGTTGGCCATAAAAAACCCATGAAACAGCTCATAAGCTATTGTGTTCTGGCAACAAGATAGAATTTCTCTTTTTGTATTACCAAAATGGTTAATTGTGAACATAAATATATTGAAACCAATACCATAAAATACAATACATCGGAGATTTGAAATACTCTGTGAAAGCAAAATAGTAATTAGTTGGCCAAACTAACTGATTTTTAAGCCAGATTTGGAAAGTAAACTGGCAATATGAATAATAGAAAGACAATTCTTGTTTTTCTTTTTTGTGTTGTTTCAGAAAAGTTTTGAGCAGATGCTTTTTCCATGCCATGATTGCCCTCGAAATCATACAGCAGCTGTAATCACCCCTGCCTCTAAAATTTTGGCAACCATTAGTGTGCTATTCCTACATTTGTATCTTCAGCAACTCAACGG